ACCTTTGGACTCCCACCTACAAGGCACAAGTCAGGCATGTGATGGAATACTCCCCACTTGCTGGATGGGTGCAGCTCCAACAACACTCAAGAAGTTTGATGCCATCCAGGACAAACAGAAATTGCTGGAGAAACTCAGCAGGCCTGGCATCATCTGTGGAGAGAGAAACTGAGTTACTGTTTCAAGTCCTATGACCCTTCTTCAGAGTGGTATCTAACAGTTTGAGTTAATAATGAGTCAACATTTGTGAAGTATTTGATATCTGTTACTCTAACGTTGAAAACTATGAAGAGCATGTGTTCTGTCAATGCCTGTCCACCCCTTACAAGGCTCAAGGCAATAGTGTGATACTATATAGATCCCCATTATCACTCAAGCTTTGTACCACCCAGGGCAAGGTATTTTAATTTAAACACCATCCACCAACATAAGCATTCCTCCATCCATCACCATTACACTGAGGCTGCAGTGCACACTATGGACATGATGCTCTGCAACATCCCATTTTAAGCCCCTTTGACAGTACCTTCCAAACCTACAATCTCTACTGTTTAGATTAATAATGGCAGCAGATCCATTTACATCTGGATTTAGAAATATATCTCTGCTTCTTCACAGGTTGTTGGGTCAAAATCCAGGAAATTTCCACTTTAACTGCATTGTGGATGTTCCTAAACTACACGGTGGTTCAGGGAGACAGTTCGTCACCACCTTCTCAAGGGTGGTTAGGGATTGAGCCACAATATTTACATGGCTAATTGTCCCTGCAGCCTCAGGTTTCTGGGAGAAAATACAAATTCCTACCAACTATTCCACAAAAAGCCATCCAAGATTTGCTTCCTTAGTGGTCCAAGTCTAATTTAAAGCTAAGCTTCTGCAGACTCCCATCGTGGAGATTGTTTTACCATAACCATTTTATCAGATCATTATAATGATTTTACAGACCCCTGTAATATAATGCTTACATTAAACGGCTGGAGTTAAATGATTCTGAGATTCTGACCGTTCATCTCACTGTGAAATTACGCTGTTTCTTGTGATTTTATGTTGCTTTTTTTCTGACTTGATATTCTGAAGGACAGATATGTCATTCACATATCCAATCAGTACTGGGGTTGTTCGGAAAGGTATGAAACGAGATGTTGAAATATTTCTTTTCATTATACTTTCATTTTGGTATTTAACTGTATCCATTATTTTTACAAGCCTCCCTCTCCTGCTACACACACACATATAAACACACACAGACACAGACACAAACACACACATACAAATGTACTCACACACACACAGACACACACACACACACACAGACACCCACAGACACACACACAAACACACACACACACAGACGCACACACACACAGACACAAACAGATACAAACAAATGCACTCACACACACATACACACACACACATATACACACACAAATTAGACCTGCTATTTGATAATCTCATTAACAAGGATTAGTTTCAAATGTCAAATAGTGACTACAATGACCCTGCATGGAACCTATCTATATTTCAATCTCTGACAATATTGAATAACTACAGAGGTGCTACAGCTTGGATTTTAGCACTGAAACTGAATAGTCATTTGCTAATGTGAAACTCAGTTCTCAGTAGGAAGTTTAACATATATTGAAAGCCTGACTGAGAGCATTAACACTTTCAAAACATTTAAATAAGTTTGTCTTAGGTAGTGCCAAGAGGTGCAACAGATTTTCACTGCAGCAGTCTAGGTAGCTGAGCATCAACAAATTGTTTTGACTGTGGATGAGAGAATTGTTATTATAAATCTATGCCCTCACATTCTTGTTCCTTTTACAAGTGGGGTCCAGCCCACTCATGATTGCACCAAATCTCCTCTCAGCCTTCTTCTCTCCAAAAAGAACAGTCCCAACTTCTTCAATCTGTCCTTACCACTGAAGTTTTTCATTAGGATAGACATAGAACCCCTACAGTGTGGAAACAGGCCCTTCGGCCCAACAAGTCCACACCGAACCTCAGAGCATCCCACCCAGACCCATCCCCCTATAACCCACTGAAGCTACACATCCCTGGACACTACGGGCAATTTAGCATGGCCAATCTACCCTAACCTGCACATCTTTGGACTGTGGGAGGAAACTGGAGTGCCCGGAGGAAACCCACACAGATACGGGGAGAATGTGCAAACTCCACACAGAAAGTCGCAGAATTGAACGCGGGTTCGTGGTGCCGTGAGCCAGCAGTGCTAACCACTGAGCCACCGTGTCGCCCCATTCCTGGAAACGTTCTTGTAAATCACTTCTGCACTCTCTCCAACATGTTCACATCTTTCCCATAATGTGGCACCCAAGACTGCACACCATACTCCAGCTGATGTCTCACAAGTGTATTGTACAAGTTCAATATCACCTCATTGCTCTTGTACTCTATGTCCTTATAATTAAAGCTGAGAATCAAGTCACCATAATCTTACAAGACCATAGGACTGCGCTCTCATCAGAGACAGATGACTAGGGGTGATTTAATCTGAGGGTCACCATACCTTAGGTGAGGGGAGAGGTTGAGAAGGAGAAAGCTGAGAATACTGTATAGTGCATTAACTGCTGTTTCCACCTCCTGCCACCTTCAACAATCTGTATATAGTTGATACGACTCTTCCTGGAGCAGAGTTCTGAAGAATTCATTGACTGGAAACATTGTGTCTATTCCTCTCTCCACAGATACTGCCAGACCTGCTGAGTTTCTCCAGCAGTTTGGTTTTATTTCAGATTTCCGGCATCTGCAGTTTTTTTGCTTTTAATTGAGTACGTAGAGCTCAGCTCCCACAGAGTCACTTGCCTTCTTATCTGCTGGAATCAGGGAACACTAGCTCAGAACTAAACTGCACAAAATTGTAAAACTTTCCTATGTTGTAAAAGTGCAAACTTCACATTTACTCCTATCGTAATATTAAGATTGTACTGGAGAACTGGAAGTTATGGGCCACATCATGAAAATGTTAAATATTCATATTTGGGAAATGATCATAGAGATCTACAGCACAGAAAAAGGCCCTTTTGTTCATCGCACCCACACCTGTCAAAACAACCCCATAACCATTCTAATCCTATTTCCCAGCACTTGGCCCATAGATTTGTATGCCTTGGCATCACAAGTGCACATCTAAAAACTTCTTCAATGTTATGAGGGTTTCTCCCTCTACCACCCTTACAAGCAGTGAGTCCTAGATTTCCACCACTCTCTGGATGAAAAAGTTTATCCTCACATCTTCTCTGAATCTTCTTTCCTTTACGTCAAATCTGTGTCCCCTGGGCTTTGATCCCTCCATCAAAGGGAAAAGTTTCTATGCACTTTATTCCCTCATTATTTCATACATCTCAATTGTGTCCTCTCTCAATCTCCTCTGCTCTAAGGAAAACAACCCCAGTCTGTCCAATCTCTCTCCACAACGGAAACTCTCCAGCCCAGGCAACATCCTGGTAAATCTCCTCTGCACTGTCTCCAGTTTAATCACATCCCTCCTATAATGTGGATTCCAAAACTGCACACAATACTCTAGCTGTGGCCTAATGAACATTTTATACAACGCCAGCATAGCCTCTCTTAAACTCTATGCCTCAGCTAATAAAGACTGATATATCATATGCCTTCTTAACCACTTTATGTATCTGTCCTGATACCTCAAGGGACTGGTGTCCCTTGGTTGATCTGATCCTTGGTGCTTCTGTTCATCATGTATTCCTTTGATTATCCTACCCAAGTGCACCACCTCACATTTATCGGAATTGAATTCCATTTATCACCGATCAGCCTATATGACTGGCCCATCTCTACCCACCTGTAATCTAGGGCCACCCTCCTCACTAATTACCCAACGGCCAATTATTTATTTATAATTTGTTATATGTGCACTTACTGATCAAACGTCCTCAGTTTAAGCAACAGTTTACTGCTGAAGTTTAAATATGTGGAGATATCACTGAAACAACAGATTGTTTAAGAAACAGTTTGATATCTCTCTGAAATTGCAGCTTTGGTTTTACATTTCTATTGTTTTCGAGGTAAAAGTTGTTTCCATAAAGTCATTGGCAGTGTCATATAAGTGTGGATCTGTTAGTTCATACATTTCCTACAGTGTTGAAAGTGAGCCATTTGGCCCATTGAGACCACGGTGACACTCCGAAGAGCATCCCACCCAGACCCATTGCCCCTGCCCTATCCCTGTAACTGCACATTTCCCATGGTTCCTAACCTACACATCCCTGGACACTACGGGCAATTTAGCATGGCTAATCCACCCTAACCTGCACATCTTTGGACTGTGGGAGGAAACCGGAGCACCCGAAGGAAACCCATGCAGACACATGCAAACTCCACACGGACTGCCTTTTTCTTAATTTCAAAAATATACTTTATTCATAAAAAGATCTGTACATATCCAAAATAACAAATGCAGTTTTGTTCTGTACAGTAGCATATCAGGGAACAAAACATTGGACATAGAAGGGACTGCAGATACTGGAAGCTAATAGACATGGAGCTGGAAAAGTGCAACAGATCAGACAGCATCTGAGGAACAAGAAAGTCAACATTTTGAACTGGAAACCTTTTTCAGGACCCCTGAAACATTGGCGTTTGACTGTATCCAAATAAACCAAAGACATCTCTTACAGATAACAAGATTATATTTACATGCATTTGAGGCACTTGGAGAGTCTGATAACTAATGGACCCCCCGTTTAACTTCAGCAGGAAGACTTCAGACAGTGGTCTTTCCCCCCTGAGCCTTTGGCAGCAGCTGCCCCAAGCTTTAGTGCGTCCCTGAGCATGTAGTCCTGGACCATGGAATGTGCCAGTCTGCCACACTCGCTCAGGGTCAGCTCCTTGGTCTGGAAGACCAACCAGGCTCGGGCAGACCAAAGACAGTCTCTCACCGATTTGCCAGTCCTCCAGGCACAGTCGATGCTTGTCTCAGCGTGCGTCCTGGGGAACAGACCGTAGAACACAGAGTCCTGTGTCCTGGGGCTATTCAGGATGAACGTTGGCAGAGACCACTGCATCTATCTTTCTCCAGTGTACTGTGGCACGGACTGACTGGGCAATACTAGAAGGACCTCACTAGAGCAACCTCCACACAGACAAGCTGGAATCGAATGTGGGTCCCTGGCACTGTGAGGCAGCAGTGCTAAACCCTGAGCCACTCAGTTCATTCGTATGCATTGACTGTTGCTCCAGACCAGCAACTGAGCGCAGTGAATGTAGAAATGATGCCTGTAGAACGGACAGGCTGGGTCAACAGGTTGCCTATATAAGTCTTTTGCACCAGTGAGAAGTCCATACAATAGCAGCAGAGCTGGCAGTTCTAATTGCACCAAACGCCAAGCCGATTATGAAGAGCTTGTTGGATGAGATCTGTTCTTGTTTGTATCAGAAGGTGTGGGGAGCCCAGCGGACAGAGTGTGCCAGCTCTAACAGAGAGAGAGCAGCTCTGAGCCCCTCTCAGCCTGCCTGGGGGGTCACTGAGCAGAAGGGGGCAATGGCAGCAGCGGAGACCGCCTCACCTTTCCTCAAACACTTCGCTTTAAGATATTCCCAGGCGGGGGCGAGCCCAGCTAATCGCAGGCGCCACACTCTCCCTGCTAGCGAGTTCCGGAACCTGAGCCTAACAGATGCACTCAGCGTGTTCGAAATCGAGAGGGAAGGTAAGGGCTAGCAGCTAAGGGGGAGAAGGTGTTAGTGAGTACGTACACTCGGCCCTTCCAGTGGCTACTACCCCTGCTCTGACCACCAGCCCAGCTACTCTCTCCTGCAACCGGTGCAATTCTGTCCTTATATATTCAGTAGCTCCTTTCTCCTGATATAATATTCAAACTGTCTGTATCTGAATGCTGTTTTGTGTACAACTCCTTACTTAGTTTAGGTATTCCAATCTGGGAGATAGCGATCCAAGCTGATAGCCCAGAGAGATGGTTTTACATCCCCGCTTAGCAGCCGATGGAATTTAAAATCAATAAATGAAATTGCACTTATTTATTTCTGAAAATAAGATGTTCTGAGGAAGGGTCACTGGACCCAAAACTTTTTCTCTCTCTCTCTCTTCAGAGATGCTGCTGAGTTCCTCCACCAATTTCTGTTCGTTTGAAATAAATTAGGATTTAAACGAAAATAAAAGTGTGTATTACAAACTGTGTAATTACTGTCATTCGTTATAGGAGCCTATCTGGTTCACTCATGTCCTTTAGAGAGGGAAATCCGTTCTACATGTGACTCCAGGCTTACAGCAAGGTAGTCTTTTGGCTGAAATGGCCAGCAAGCCACTGAGCCCAAGGGCAGCAAAGACATCCACATCTCATGAAGGTGTACAGAAGCTGGGTGGGGAAATGAAGTCTGCTAAATGACTGAGAGATAGTAGGAACTGCAGATGCTGGAGAATCTGAGATAACAAGGTGTAGAGCTGGATGAACACAGCAGGCCAAGCAGCATCAGAGGAGCAGGAAGGCTGATGTTTCGGGCCTATACCCTTCTTGTAGACTCGCCAACTTTAAGGGCATTTAAATAGTCATTGGATAAACATATGGATGATAATGGAATAGTTTAGGTTAGATGGGCTTCAGATTGGTTTCACAGGTCGGCGCAACATCGAGGGCAAAAGGGCCTGTACTGCGCTGTAATGGTCTATGTTCTATGTTCTGAAGAAGGGTCTAGAGCCGAAATGTCAGCCTTCCTGCTCCTCTGATGCTGCTTGGCCTGCTTTGTTCATCCAGTTCTACACCTTGTTATCTCTGCTAAATGACTGGTTCAGTTTTGCTATAATTCAAACCATCCTCACTTTTTAAGGTTTGGGAAGTCAGCTGTGAGTTTGGCTGCAGTTAGTCAAACAATGCTCACCAATATAAAAGAGATATAGGAGCAGAAGTAGGCCATTCAACCCATCGATTTTGCTGTGCCATTCAATGAGATCATAGCTGATCTGATAACCCTCAGCTGCACTTTCCTACCTTATCCCCATAGCCTTTGATGACCTTACTGATTAAAAATCTGTCTATCTCAGCTTTAAGTATACTTAATGACCCAGCCCCAACAGCCTTCCATGGTAAATAATTTCACAGGCTCACTACCCTCTGAAAGAAGAAATTCCTCCTTATCTCTGACTTAAATGGGAAACCCCTCATTCTGAGATAACGCCCTCTGGTCTTTGACTTTCCCAAAGGAGAGACCTCTAAGAATTTTTTATGTTACATATAGACATACAATATCATGCAGGGAATAAATAAATTAGAAGCAGGGAGGTTGTTTCCACCGGTGGGTGAAACTAGAACGGGGGGGCATAGTTTCAAAATAAGGGGGAAGCAGATTTAGGACTGAGTTGAGGAGGAACGTGTGAAGCTGTGGAGTTCCCTGCTCAGGGAAGCAGTTGAGGCTACCTCGTTGAATGTTTTAAAGGCATGGAGAGATAAATTTTTGAACAATAAAGGAATTGAGGGTGAGTGGTCAGGTAAGTTGAGTTGAGTCCACAAAAACATATCAGTGGAGCAGGCTCGAGGGGCCAGATGGTCCACTCCTGCTCCTATTTCTTATATCCCTTCCTGTCTGTGAAACATTTCAATGTTTTACTTCAAACAGTCAGTTCCACAATTTCTGAGAGTACCGGACACACCAGGGACAAAAAGAAACTCAGTGCCTCTTCTCTATTTTCTCACTTTTAGCCTTCATTTCAGTCTCCGGAGAATGTCCTTTACACATGGATGAAGTCAGACACTTTCTTGAGCTTTGCCCAGAGTTATCCCTTGGCTGGTTTGAAGAAGGGAGGCTGGTAGCCTTTGTAATTGGCTCTGGATGGGACAAGGACAAGCTCTCACAGGTCAGACACACTGCTTTTCATCTTACATAACGCAGCACTGCTGTGAGGAGTGTTAAGACCCAATTTGTTCAGTAATATTGTCTCTTCTCAGCAATGTTGCATATGCTGGAAACCCTCAACACAGTAGCGTCTATAGCATCATATTTAGTAAAAAAAATCCTTCGTGTTTGTTCTTACCAAAGCTGTTAGATTTTACAGACGAATGACTTAAAAATAGACAGAGGTGATGGAAAACACAAAATAGATGCAGATTGATTAGTCACATATTTTAACCACCTACTCAATTCCACTTAAATGGCACAAGCCATATTAGTCAGATTTGAAAACATGAGAAAAATCAAATTAGATTGAAAAGGGGAGTGGGTCCTATTGGATGGGGCGGGGGGGGGGGCGCTTCAGGGGGTGGCAGAGATGAAACAGCATAAATGGGAAATGGGAAGCTCATGAAATTGTTTGAATACTAAAAGGTTTCAGGTAATGAGATTCCTGAGTCATTAAACAATATGCTGAGTGGGAAAGGTGACTATAACTTGTCAAAATTTCCAATCATAGCAACAGAGGATGGCCTCGTTCTTGAAATTCTGTTGAAGTCAGTCTTTAATAATATTGTCTAGCTGCCCCCTTCAGCGCCCTTCATCCCGCAATCCTTCTGGTAGCAATTTAGACACCCTGCTGCATGAATAACGTCAGAAAAACTTCATTTGCCTTTCTTTCTTTATGGTGTTCTCTTCTTGCTCTGGTCTCATTCAGTAGTTCACAGGAACCTGGGAGATGCAACAATAAAAGTAATTTAGCACGAAGGGTGGAGCCTACTGAACAGGGTACAATGTTTTAGCAGATAAACCCCATTTATCCATAGAGTGTCACAGTGGCCCAGTGGTTAGCACTGCTGCCTCACTGTACCAGGGGCCTGGGTTCAATTGCAAGCCGTGGGTGACTGTGTGGAGTTTGCATGTTCTCGGTGTGGGTTTCCTTTGAGTGCTCCAGTTTCCTCTCAGTCCAAAGATGTGTAGGTTAGTTGGATTAGCCATGGAAAATACAAGGATAGGGGAGGGAGGTGGATTTAGGTGGGATGCTCTTTGGAGGGTCAGTGTTGACTTAATGGGGTGAATGGCCTGCTTCCATGCTGGAGGAATCCTGTATCACAAGGGTTTTCTGTTCTGCAATTGTTTCAGATGTGCAATGTAAGTTTCTGTTGGTTATATTCATAGTCCTTTTAGTGAAAATATGCTTCTAGCATGTTTCTATTTTTTTCCATGTAAAATATCATATTTGGGAACATGCTTGAGACAGATATTGTTATCAAACAATACATTCGAGAATTTTAAATTTTACCACCTGGAATTTGATTCCATTGACACAATATAGCTGTGTCCCCTCTGATAAAAGTATTACTGCTTGAGTCACATCTTCAAACTACAAACAAGTTTTCCTTCACGTATTTAATTCTTATCTAACTAGCTCTAAGATCATTTCTGTTGCCCCTTTCTAATTCTCAATATGTATCCTTTGAGCTTGAAGAACAAATCCTAAGCCATTGTAAGCGCTGTCTTGTGAGTAAAATGGACTGTTACTAATGTGATATAATTTTGTATCTCAGGATCCATACTTTGTTCTTCTGCTGTTGTAAATATTTTTGTCATCTTGTATAAAAGATCCTTTTTATAATTCATTCACAGGATATGGGCATTGCTGGCTAGGTCAGCATTTTTTGCCTATCCCTAATTGCGCAGAGGGCAGTTAAGAATCAATCACATTGCTGTAGGTCTGGAGTCACATGTAGGTCAGACCAGGGAAAGATGGCAGTTTCCTTCCCTAGAGGACGTTCATGAACCAGATGGGTTTTTCCAACAATCGGCAATGGATTCCTGGTCATCATTAGATTCTTAATTCCACATTTCTTTTTTTGAATTCACATTCCTCCAGCTGCCGTGGCAGGATTTGAACCTGCATCGCTAGAACTATCATCACTTGCTTCATCGAACTTTTAACAATTCATTCTTAATAATCAAAGGGTTTTTTTGCACCAATGCATGTTTCCGTTAGAGCCACCTAAATCAGGTGTTTGTATGCTTTTCATGTCCCCAGTAATGTTGGCATTAGCAGACTTTAAAAATAATACATGCTGAGGAAGGGTCACTAAACCCAAAACGTTTACGCTTGTTTCTCTCCACAGCTGCTTCCAGATCTGTTGAACCTTTCCAGAAACTTCTGTTTTTGATTTCCAGCATCTGCAGTTCTTTCCAATTTAGTTTGAAAATAATCTACTTTAATGTACAGTATGAAGTGAGGGCAAAGAACTAAGTTCAGCATACACAGCAGAGACTATCGTAAAGACAAGTCAATATTTCAGCTAATTTCGTAGCTGCATACACTAATCTACATGACTTGTACTTTATCACAACAATTTTGTATTTGCAAAACTAAGAAGCATATTTAGATTTTTGCAAAAACAGAATAGAGGCTCATCTCACCCTCAAATTACTTCCTTATATTTCAGTTACATAGGATCTTTTATGCTCTAGATCCACCTTCAGAAAGTAATGAATGTCAAATTGATGGGATTAATGAAGAGTAAACAAAAAACACATCCGAGATACAAGAATGCCAGTGGAGGTGGCTTTAACCCCAGGAAACATAGAAGCAAGACAATAAGTTCAATTTCATCTTGTGTCTTGAAGGCCATAGGTGCCAATGCAGAAGAGAAAACAAGTCATTAATATCATAAAACAATGAATTGTGGATATTGGAGATCTGAAACAAACAAAAACAGAAATTGCTGGACAAAAATCGGCAGGTCTGGCAGCATCTGTGAAGAGAAAACAGAGTTAAACACGTCAATAGTTTTAATGTGTGTCAAAACATGCAGCTGATCTGGGTTTGCATAAGCTGCAGAGGAAAGAATAAAATAGCTGAGGGGGCACAAAGAGGATCATGTTCAATAGTTTTTAACAAACATTCCAGTTGAAAATATTTGCACTTCTGTATTAGGAGCATGACAAGTAGTACACTAAATTATGGTTAAACAATTTAAATTTGACAAATGGAAAATAGGTAAGTTACCTGAGAAATTAACCTCCTTAAAATAGGAGGAGGGTGGGTGGAATGCAAAACTTTGCTTTGTGAACTTTAACAAGAAGTTGGGTTTATGCAATAGTGCCCAGACTAAGAGTAGAGTACTCACTGACTCCCAGGGCTCAACTTGTGATTGTCAGTTGGATGTGAGATCTCCTGGGACCTACCAATGGTTGCTGTGTGCTGGGTTTGTGAAGGCAGCCCATGAGGATCTGTCCTACTTTGCTGCCTCTTCCTAGCTAAGATCACAAACTTCTATCATTTATATTATCACACTCCATTGATAGCCTGACTGAAATTAGCATCAAGGTGTTTGCAAGATGTGAACAACATGCCCTTTTATCCAATAGCTCACTCGTCAGCTACTGGCCCAGAAACTAAAATTGACGCAAGATTTTTCTTCATCCTGATTGCCATAGACTAGTTCTTTGGAATTATTATTCCCCTACCTACAATTGTCAAGGTGGTACATCATCTACAGACCAAGCATTACAAATGTATTTGCTTATGGTGAAGGCATTGTCTCAATTGAGGATAATTACAAAGGCATTGGATAGAATTATTGTCCAGGGATATGGGGAAAAGGCACGGAGATTAGGACTAGGTAATAGGACCATTGCAGGATGAATAGCCTCCTGCACTGTAACAATCCAATGATTCTATACTTGCAATTGATTGCGAATGTTCATATGCTTGCTAAACAACCTAATGCACAAATTTTAATTTGTAACTTAAAAAAGATGTTAACATTTCAAATGTTTGTAGGATGCTATGACCATTCATGTCCCTGGGGGCTCCTCTGTGCACATTCACGTTCTGGCTGTCCACCACAAGTGCCGTCAGCAAGGGAAAGGCTCCATTATCTTGTGGCGATACTTACAATACCTGCGATGTCTCCCCACAGTCAAGCGAGCTGTTCTCATGTGCGAAGATTTCTTGATCACATTCTACCAGAAAGCTGGCTTCAGAGAGATCGGACCTTCTGATATTGCAGTGGGTCCCCTCACATTTACTGAAATGGAATATCCTCTTGGAGGAGGAGCTTACCTGCGGAGGAATAGTGGCTGCTAAACTATGATGTCGAACCTAGTGATGTGAATTTCAGTAGCCTCCATGCTATCTTTAATGGACTGGTGTCTATATTAACCGGTGGTGTTGCAACAGTATTCCATTTGCTTTAAATAGATTAACAGTGTTGTTCAAATGTTAACATGAATTTAATGGTGACAATGAAAAAAATTTGCATTCTTAGAAATCAAAGGCAGACTTCTCAACTTTAGTAGGTGCATAAAACATGTGAAAGCAGATTGGATGAGCTGTAGAACAGGCAAACAATCACACACATAAATCTTATGGCTCGATAAAGATGGACCTGTCCCACAGGTTGTTGTCAACTTTAATGGAAAAGTTCATTTTAAAATTACATCCTCAAGAAATATTGTTTTGCTAATTGTACATTGAAGTGACTAATGTCTGGATTAATTACACAACTTTTGTCTTTAGTATAGTTTTAAAAAATCCAATGATTTCAGCAATTGTGTGGTTAACATCATACTTCCTGTTAGATCAGGTTCCACTATTTACTAAAATGACATATTCCAACAGTTCAATAACTCCTCCTTATTCATCTGTTTTGTTTTCCCCCACATCTTGATTCCTAGTAATACTTGTTGGAAAACCTAATGATAAAAATATTGCCAAAAGCATATGGTCAATTTTAATTTACCCATCAAGGAAACCTGTGGGATCAGATCAGCTAATGACCTAATTGAACACTTCAAATCAGAGTCATACAGCACAGAAACAGAACCTTCAGTCCATGTTCTCAAACTAAACTAGTTCCACCTGCTTCCATTTGGGCCATATCCCTCTAAACATTTTCTATTCATGTACTTATCCAAGTATCTTTTAAACATTGTAACTGTACCTGCATCCACAACTTCCTCTGGCAGTTCATTCCATGTTCTAAACATGCTCTATGTAAAAATGCTGCCCCTCATGCCCTTTTTACATCTTTCTCCTCTCACCTTAAAAATATGCCCCCCAGTTTTGAATTCCCCTATCTTAATCTTTTGATATTTAAATTGTATGTAATTTATTTGCTTGGCTCCTTATATGACTATCTGTATATTGCCAAAATCTGAATACGCAATGTTATGTATCTTTATAGAAACTGTGCTCTGTTACTTACTATACATTAAAAGGTTATCTTTGTACTGTAATTGTTTTTCAATAAAAGACATCATCGTAATTAACAATATCCAGTCTGGTGTTTGGTGCTGTCAGTAACTGTCCTGCTATCTTTCATGCCATTACATTAAAGATAACTCAGATGAATTGGAGGATGTAATTTTCTCCTCTCCTGTAGGTGACGACAAAGAGAAATAATTAAATAAAAAGCTAGAACTGTCCCCATCTATCATTAGCCTCCTCTCCCTGGCCCAGCTCGTCCTCGCTCTGAACAACTTCTTCTTTAACTCCTTTCACTTCCCTCAGGTCAAAGGTGTGGCACCTGCATGGGCCCCAGTTATGCCTGTCTCTTTGTGGGCTATGTGGAACATTCCTTGTTCTAGTCCTGCTCTGGCCCCCACCCACTCCTTCTCCGGTACATCGATGACAGCATCAGTGCCGCTTCTCCATCTCATTTGGAATTGGCAAAAATCTATCATTTTCGCTTCCAAGTTCCACCCTGCTCTCATCTTCACCTGGTCCATCTTGGACTCCTCCCTTCCCTTCCTCTGCATCTATTTCCATTTCTGGGGATAGACTGGCCACCAAAATCCACTACAAACCCCCAAATCCCACAGTTACCTGGACTACACGTGCTCACACCCTGCTTCCTGCAAAGACTCCCAGTTACTTGGTCTCCATCGCATCTGTTCTGAGGATGCCAACCTCAACAAAGGGGGACCTCCAAAATGTCCAGGTTTTCCTCGACATGGGATTCCCCACCACCGTGGTTGACAGGGCCCACAGCCACGTCCGATTCATCTCCTGCACTTCGCCCCTCAACCTCTCTCTTCTCTCCCACAATGGCGATAGGGTCCTCCTTGGCCTCACCTACCATCCCACCAGCATCCACATCCAAAAGATCATTAGCTGCCATTTCCGTCACACCAGCAGGATGCTACCATCAGACCATATTCCCCTCCACTCCCTTATCAGCCTTCCACAAGGATCGTACCCTCTGGGGCATCACTCCTGACACGTACCCCCACGGCACCTTCCCATGCAATTGCAGAAGGTGCAAGACCTGCTCATTTACCTCCTCCCTCTTCACTATCTAAGGCCCAAGGCTCAAGACCCACTCTTCCAACTGAAGCAGGGACATTCATGCTCTTTTATCTAGTCTACTGCATTCAGTTCTGAAGAAGGGTCACTGGACCCAAAACATTAACTCTGTTTCTCTCTCCACAGATGCTGCCAGACCTGATGAGTTTCTCCAGCAATTTGTTTTCGTTTCAAATAATTAGGTGAGTTAACCTTGGCAAAGACCATCTTCTTGCCACCTCACTAGTTAAATTCTGGCAGGAAGATCCATGGGTGACTTTGACCAGTCGTTAATAAAGGCCCTAAAGTGTTAGTTAATGGCCACTAAAAAAGGTCCAAAATGACAACATCACTGATTACCAGTTTTGCTAGGGCTCCTGGATACCGCACTCAGTCATGTGGCCTTGATGTCAAGGGCTGTCACTCTCACCTCACCTCTGCAATTCAGTGTTTTTGTCCGTGTTTGAACCAAGGCTGTAATGAGATCAGGAGCTGAGTGGCCCTGGCAGAACCCAAATTGGGCGTCACTGAGAAGGTTATTGCTGAGCAGGTGCGCTTGATAGCACTGTTCCTGACACCTTCCATCACTTTACTGATGATCGAGATGAGACAGATGGGGCGGTATTGGCTGGGTTGGATTTGTCCTGATTTGCGTGTACAGGACATACCTCGGCAATTTTCTACATTGTGCAATAGATACTTTGATATAGTTGTACTGGAACAGCTTGGCTAGGGGCGTAGTCTGGGGCACATCTTCAGTGCTATTACCAGAATGTTATCAGGGCCCATAGCCTTCATATTATTCAGTTCCTCCAGCTGTTTCTTAACATCATGCAGAGTGAATCCGATCTGTGAAACTGGGATTGCCAGGGGGACAGCAAAAAAAATCGATCATCCACTCGGCACTTCTGGCTGAAGATTGCTGCGAATGCTTCAGCCTTATCTTTTGCACTGACGTGCTGGGCTCTTCCATCATTGAGGATGGGGATATTTGTTGAGTCTCCTCCGATGGTTAATTGTTCACTGCCATTTACGACTGGATACTGCAGGACTGCAGAGATCAGACCTGATCCAACGGTGAGTCACTCAGCTCTACCTATCACTTGCTGCTTTTGTTGTTGTGCATTTAAGTAGTTCTGTATTGTAACTTCAGGTTGACCCCTCACTTTTAGATATGTGTGGTGTTGCTCCTCAGCATGCTCTCCTGCATTCTTCGTGGAACCAGGGTTGATCCCCTGGCTTGATGGTAATGGCAGAGGAGTGGGGGATATACTGGGTCACGTAGTTTACAAATTATGGTCAAATACAATGGCACCCATCCCTAAATTGCTGGATATGGTCAAAGTATATCCTATTAATCATGGTATTGGCGGGTTGATATTGCCACACAACGCAATGAAATGTATTAGCAGTGTGCAAGTAGAACTTCATCTCCATAAAGGACTGCATAGTGGCCTCTCCCATTGGCAGTCATGGGCAGATGCCTCTGCTACAGGTAGATTGATGAGGATAAGGTCAAGTATTCCATCCCTTAACACTTGCCAGAGACCCAGTCTAACAGCCACGAACTTCAGGCTTCAACCAATTATCTGTAGAAGTGCTACTGAGCTATCTTAGTAACAGGCTTGAAGTCCTCCACTCAGAGCATATTGCGTTCTTGCCACCAAATGGCGCTCAACCTCAAGGTGTACTCGGTCAACAGCTCGGGGCGTCTCAGGGCAGCAGAAGGTTGCAGTCAGCAGGTCTCCTTGCCCATGTTGGACCTAATGCCATGAGGCTTCATGGGGTCCAGCGTCAACCTTGAGGACTCCCTGTGCAACTCCTTCTGCCTGTGCTGCTGGGTGGGATGGCAGTGTCTGGGAAACTGTCTACAAGGTAGTCATTTTTACAAAAATCACATGACCTGTTCAACTAGTCTCAGGGACAGCTCCTCCAGATTTGGGACATGCCCCAGATGTTAGTAAGGAGGAATATGCAGGACCGATGGGACTGTGCGCTGTTAGCATTTCCACTTCTTAGGTGGTTCTTGAAACCATTTCAGAAGCAGATGCTAATCAACCACACAACTGGACTTGGGGAGGGGTGGAGACTTTCCTTCTCTTAAAGATGATTGTGAACCAAACAGACTTCTAACAATAATAGACAGGGATTTCACCATCGCTATTTGACCAGTTTCAATTCCAAACTTAGTAATTGAATTCAAACTCCACAATGGGTATTATTGAACCCATGTCTCCAGAGCATTGGATTTTCTCTCTCGCTTCATAAAATCAATATGTCCAATGTCAATACCACTACACTACCACCTAAACAACAAGCTATAAATTGTACATGCCGTTCAACAGTGTGAAAGTTTGTAAATACATATTTTTGTTACAGCCTGATTCTGACATGTTGAGTGTAATACATGGCAGATGTAGCACAAAATGGATAAACGTGATGCTATTTGGTAGCAAAAAATGGGAAGGCGGAGTGTCTGAATAGCAATAGATTGGGAATGAGGAGGTATGAGACCTGGGTACACCTTGTACACCAGTCACAGAAAGCAGGCAGTAAAGGCAGCACATGGGATGTTGGTCTTATAGTGAGAGGATTCGAGTACAGGAGCAGGGATGTCTTGCTGCAATTATACAGGGCATAGGTAAGACCACACCAGGAGTACCATGTTCAGTGTCATTCTTCTTATGACAAAGGATGTTCTGGCTATGAAGGGAGTGAAGGTTTAGCAGACCAATTCCTGGGATGGCAGGACTGATGTATGAGAGAGACTGGATTGGTTTGGACAATACTCGCTAGAGGTTAGAAGAATGAAAGAGGACATTATAGAAGCATATAAGTTCAAACAGGACTAGACAGGGCAAACAGAGGAAGGGCATTCCTGATGACTGGGTAGCTCAGAACCAGAGGGGTCACAATTTTAAAGTACAGGGTAGGCCATTTAGGACAGAGATGAAGAACAATCTCTTCACCCACAGTGTGGTAAGCCTCTGGAATTCTCTGCTACACAAAGCAGTTGAGGCAAAAAAAAACACAATGTTTTCAAGGGGAGAGGAGTTAGATATAGTTTTCAGGGCTAAAGTGATCAAAGTGTATGGGGAAAAAGCAGAAACAGGGAACTGAGTTAGATGATCAGCCATGATCATATTGAATAGCAAAGCAGGCTCTAAGGGCTGAATGGCCTACTCCCCTGCTCCTGTTTTCTATGTTTCTATTATTCATTTTTAAACAGTAATCACGTCAGAATGTGTCTATTTCACAAAGGTACTCGTCAATCTGTTGCTAAACGTCTACCTTCTCTACCTAAACTATGCCACAAACCTGGGTAAGGAGTTACACTTTCTTTTCTAATCCTACTTTCCTCACATTCTGAATTAAAAGTAAAAAGGGGGTGATTTCCAGTCTGTAGGAGGTGAATCATAAATTAGTGACACATTTCAAATATATGTTTTCCTATTCCCAATGTTAAATATTTACTCTTTCCGGAAACATTGTGAAGAAGCACTACACAGGACAATTCAATCTAGGTTCTTATTGCACACTTGCTGAGAATTGCTCAGAATAACAACATAGTATGGTAACAGGAGTTAAATTTGTAATTTTCATATCAAAATGCAAGAAAAAACACATCCTGCAAAATTGGTCATAAAACTGCTACCAGAGTCCGTTGTGGGAATTCAAAAAACAGTTTTCAACACAACTCAAACACATTATAAACTAATGTCTAACTTAAAGTTATCCAAAACTAAACCTTATATAAAATGCAAATTTTTGTAAAAGCTAGAAATATCTTTTAAAAGTGCTAAAATGTTGGCACAAAACCCAACTGGAATGTTGGTAGAAGGAACAAGTGACAAAAAAAAGTGAGATAACAAGGTGTAGAGCTGGATGAACACAGCAGGCCAAGCAGCATCATAGGAGCAGGAAAGCTGACGTTTCGGGCCTAGACCCT